TTTCTCAAGCCTTCATTCCATGACAAGAGGTAATTAATTTTTACATTTTTCCTTTTGTTAGAATGGAGAAACACCCTTCTTCCTAGCTGTTGGAGGAGGTCATGAAGAATGCAGCAAAGTGCTGGTGGCAGCAGGAAGTGCTATCAACATTCCAAATAAAGTATGTGTTCCACTCACGCAGTGGGAGGGGCACTCAGGATGCTGTTTGGGTAATCTGGTCCTGTGTTGGTCCACTCACTGGGCTTCTGTAGAGTTAATATTTATAATCGGTTTTGTTTGGGGTAAACATTATTGATTTATCTCTGATATCCCCTAGTTAATGTCTCCTCAAAAGCAATGCCATTCTCCCTAGTTATTTTTTAATTTAAAAAAATTTTTAGAGAGAGGAAGGGAAGGAGGGAGAGGGACAGGGAGGAGAGAGAGAGAGAGAGAGAGAGAGAGAGAGAGAGAGAGAGAGAGAGAGAGAGAGAGAGAGAGAGAGAGAGAGAGAGAGAGAGAGAGAGAGAGAGAGAGAGAGAGAGAGAGACATCAGTGTAAGAGAGAAACATTGATTGGTTGTTTCCCTTATGCGCCCTGACTGGAGTGTTGAACCCGAAACCCAGGCATGCACCCTGACTGGGAATTGAACCTGCCACCTTTTTGGTGTATGGGACGACATTCCAACCAACTGAGCAACACTGGCCAGGGCTCTCCCTATTTACTTGGGGAAGGAATAATTGAAAATGGGGCAAAAGGAGCAGATAGTTGTTACTTCTCAAATACAGAGACACTCTTATTTTGCTTTGTTTTCACCCTGCCGACTAGTGCGTGCCTGGTTTTTGTCAACCCATAGTCAGGGTTGACAAAAAAAATTTTTTTTAATTGTGTACAAGCCCAGGGGTCAGTCTGGAGCCTGGAGAAGGCAGGAAGGTGCCTTCCTGTGAATACAAAACACTTTGGTGCTAAGAGCCTTTGACGTCGATCTTCATTTTTTAGCTGAGAAAACTGGAATTTAGAAAAGCTAAGGAAGTCATGCAGGATCACATGACGAGCTAATGGCAGTGCAAAGGGGACAGCTCACGTGCTTGAGCTCCTGACCACTGCTGTGGCCTTGTCTGTCGATGGTTTTACTTTCCTTTCCTATTTAAATTATAATGAAAATAACAAAAACTTTTGAATAGTACCAAAAGGCACATAATGGAAAATGTCTTATTCCACCTCAGCTTTGAAATCTCACCGCCTCAGAATTAACATTATTAATAATTTATTTAATCTTACATGGAAAATGTGGTTAAACACACGCACATGTACACACCGACACCACATTAATGGTAGCCATATATACTGCTCTGCACCCTGGTTTTGTTTAAATTGCCATAGATCTTGGGGATCTCTCCATATCTGCACAGCGGATAAACACTTCCTCTTCAGAAGTGTTAGAGGATAAAGTCCCAAACTGGTACTACTTTGTACCCTTTTATTCTGCTGGCAGGCATATACATTTATTTGACTCTCTTGAAAAGCAATTGGTCACTTTTCTTCCACCCAAGTTTCAGGAATTATTTATTTTTAAAGCACCTGAGGATGTTTTTCATGGATTCTAGCGAGAGAGGGAGAGGGAGAGAGGGAATCATCGATGTGAGTGAGAAACATTGATTGGTTGCCAAATGCACACACCTTAATCAGGGATTGGACCTGCAACCTGGGTATGTGTCCTGACTGGGAATCAAACCCGAGACACTTTGGGGCACGGGATGACACCCCAACCACTGAGCAACACCGGCCAGGGCAGAGAAATTATTTTAAGGGGATGATCTAAAAGGGGGAAATAAGCCTCATGCATTAACATAGATGTTACAGTGGCTTTGTAATGTCTTTTACAAGCTCACTTCTCCCCGCCTGAAGCTGCAGGCCCCACGTCTTCCACATTCTTATGGTCTTGGCCTCATCTAGGCGGTCTGGAAATTGTCCTGAGTCCATTTTTCAGCTTTTATGTTATCTTGAGTTTTTCCTCTGAGCTTATTAACATACTTCCTGGATCTACAGTCCCAGCCCCCACTGGCGTTCCATACCTGCCTCTGCCCAATCTAGTGAGGACTGCAGGGAAGCAGGCAGTGGATGCAAGAAGCCAGCAGCATGGACGCACATTACCCACGGGACACGCTAGACTCATTTTGCTTTCACATCTGTAGGTGATTACTGTGTACGCTCTTGGAAGTGCTTCTTCCCCCGCTGACATTGATTAGTCTTGGTCTCCAGGAGATTGCTTTTGTGTCCCCACTCCCAACCAGGGGGAGTGGGGGGGTGGTGGTGGTAAAGGGTTGAGTCATTGCTGAGGAGGTAATTGAAGTAGATTATGGATTTAGCTGATGGTCGACTTCCTCCATTAGTGCTGGATGGAGAGACTGCCCAGAGTTTGGGCAATAGGCTCTCTTCAGGCCGTACTCACTGCCTGGGTCCAGTAGAGACTTCTGTAGAAGTCTACTTCTGTAGAAGTGAGGAGAGGGGGTCCTCTCCTCACATCTTATTAAACAGATTTAAATTGCCCCACATTTCACATCAAATAATTTTTTTTCCTGAAACTTATTTTTAAAGGCTCTTTTATTTGCGCTTTCATAATTATTTGGATATGGTAAACTCCCCTAATTTATGACTGATTTCTTAAGACCTCTGTTCATACTTGGGAATTTCAGGAAGGTGAAAAAATGTAACCTACAAATTGCTTACAAATGTAATGAATATTTTATGAATATTTCATTTAACAATCAATGAAGTATGAATATGTCACTTAAATATTTATTTACTTCAATTTCGTGGTTTTCTTTTGGTATCTTGGAACTTTTTTTTTTAAAGATTTCAGATATTTCTTTGGCTCTGAAAGGTCTGGAGGCCTATGCACTGTGCCTGGGGCACCTCACGGTACAATGCCGCAGACGCCCACAGCTCTTCCTCTATAGCAGTGGTCGGCAAACTCATTAGTCAACAGAGGCAAATATCAACAGGACAACGATTGAAATTTCTTTTGAGAGACAAATTTTTAAAACTTAAACTATATAGGTAGGTACATTGTTATTAACTGAATTAGGGTACTCCTAAGGCATAGGAAGAACCACACTCATGGGGCCAAAGAGCCGCATGTGGCTTGAGAGCCACAGTTTGCCGACCACTGCTATAGGGTCCCTGGCTTTGGGTTCTTCACAAACTTGTTTCTGCTTCAGATCTTCCTGATCTCAGTCTAAATGTCACCCCATCCAAGAAGTCTTTCTTGATCCTTTACTGGAAAGTAGTCATCCAGTCCTATTTTACTTCTCATTGTAGCACTTATCCTTAGCTGATATTAGTCTTTTAATAACATCTAGAGTCTAATAAATTCATTCTTGACTGATCTACCAATCTATGAATCTATAGATCAATTTATTTAGCCCACTCCCACAGAGATCTTGTCAGTCTCCTCAAACCCCCCCAATATTTAACATAGTGCCCGGCACAGAAAAAGTGTGCAATAATTTTTTGTGAAGTGAATAAGATTATAATTATGATTACTATACACATTCACTAGCTCATTTATTGTCCCAGTCTTGCTGTGTTTTGAGAGAAAGCGATAGGGTGGTGTGATAAGCAGAACAATGGCCCCGCAACCTAATCCTGGGAATCTGTGAGTACGTTATGGTACCTGGCAAAGGGAAATTTAGGTTGCAGAGGGAATTAAGGTTGTTCGTCACCTGACCTTAAAATGGGAGTATCCTGCATTATCTAGTCGATGCTGATGTAATCACAAGGGTCCTTTAAAGCGGACGAGGGAGGTGGCAAAGAGGTCCGAGGGAGGCAATATGAGAAGGACTCTGCGCACCCTTGCCAGCTTTGAAGATGGAGGAAGGGGGCCGTGGACCAAGGGATGTGAGTGGCTTCCATAAAACAGAAAAGGCCAAGGTATGGATTCTTCTGAAAGCCTCCAAAAAGGCCTTTATTTTAGCCCAGTAAGACCCATTTCAGACTTCTGACTTTCAGACCAGTAAGATAATACATTTGTATTGGTTAAGCCACCAAGTTTATGGTGCTTTGCTAATAATAGCAATAAAAAACCAATGTAGGTGGTAATGTCATTTCTATAGAGGAGGACAAAGTGGCCCATATCTGAGAGGCCACTCATCCAAGGTTACAAAGGCATTTGATGTCAACTCATGCTACACTAGTTGGTCAGAATGTGTATTTTTCCTGTTAGCATCTGTTCCACTTATCTATTGCGTCATAACAAACCAACCCAAAGTGCAGTGGCTTAAATCAATGCGTTATTATCTTTTGTGGCTCTGAGGGTTGACCGGGCCCAGCTGGAGATGCTTACTCTAGGTCTATTATGTGGTTGCAGTGAGATGTCAGTCAGGCCTTCAGTCATCTGAAGGCTTAACTGAGGTGGGTGTCCGCAGTGGCTCACTCGCATGCCTGGCAGAGGACCAGCACGTGGTGTCTCCATATGCCTTGGTCTTCTCACGGCGTGGCAACTGTCTTCCACGAGGTAGGAAGCAGAAGCTGCCAGGCCAGGTAGGGGCCGCACCTGGCACTGGCACGCTGTCACTTCTGCCATATTCTATTAGTCAAAGCAGTTACAAGGTCTAACCAGATTCAAGGGGGCGAAGAAATAAACTCCACTGCTTGATGGGGGAGTGGCAGGGTCACGCTGCAGAAGAGCATGTGGGAGAGGAGATACTTGTGCAGCCATTTTAGGAAAACATACTCTCCTAAGCATCCGTGGGCCCAAAAACCGAGTAGCAAACTTACAATGAATTAAACAATAGCTATGTGTTGGCCTTGCATTATTGCAAGGCACCTGCTAGGCCTTGTGGAAGATGGCAGGATAGTCAAGAGTAGGCCCTGACCTAAAGCAGGTTGACATCTAACGTGGGCACTGAGTGAAGACATTCGAGCACAGGGAGCTGTAAGAGGCATCTGCTGGCAGTGGAGGGGAGGAAGTGCTAAAGGGGTTGAGAAAAAGGCCCATGAGGAATGCTGCAGCGTTCCCTCAGTATCGGTCATGCTAAGCTTTGGCAAAGGGGAGAGCTGCTAGCAAACAGGCAAGGAGGCAGGAGAGTGCTGAGGCATTTCTTGGGACCAATACCACATCAGCTATTTTGGCTCAAGGGGGCGGGGTGGGGCTGCAGGGTGTATAGAGAGAAGACTTGGCTCTAGTCTACTTTGTGCTTCCTGGAGAAGGGAAACTGAGATTTAACCCGTATTTGCCTGAGGCATGTATTCCTCTGACTCTTTAGTGGAAAACATGTAGAAGCAACACAGAACCTCCCCAAATTATCAAAACACATTGGATTTTCTTTATTAAATAGTCATACCACTTCATTGAATTAATTGACTGCCATGTGACGAATGCCAGAAAGCATGCTGGATTCTAATGGGAAGCCGTCTGTGCCCTTTCCACCTGTTTCTTGCAGCTCAATACCAGTGCTTTGCAGATAGCAACCCAGAATGGCCACACAGCCCGTGCCAGCCTTCTTCTTGGGGAGAACGCTGATCTGCACCAGAATGTGACGGTGAGTCTATTCCAATCGCTCGGGCTCTGGTGGTGGCGCTGGGAGGCTGGCCTGTGGGAGATGCTCCTCCCAGATACGCGGTGGGGACGGGTGCTCACAAAGAAGGGATTCTTTCTGGGAAGGCTGGCTGACTTCTTTTGGAGACTGAGTCTTAATCTTGAGAAATAAAATCCGAGGAATGAAATTTAGAAAGTCATTGAAGTTCCTGGAGAAAATGAAGTCTATGTGGTTTAAACATTTATATTTGCTATGTGTCTAGAGATGCCATTCTTCTTGTATTAAATTCATCAGTCTGGGCAAATGAGTAAGCTGCTGTCAATAGGAAGGAGAAAGATCACTTTCCCTCCTTCAGGAACAATCTTGTTTTTCTTTTGAAAGTCAATCCTTTATGCTGATTTTGGTTTTCTGAAGTTTGAATTGGCTTTGGTACAACTTACAAAGGTTCTCTGTGTTGGAATTAGATGGGAAACATTCCGCTATTTTTCACCCTGTTTTTCTTTCCTCCTGTGAGAATATTATTTCCTCGGATCTTGCTTAACCATTACTATTTGTTGTATTAACTCCAGAGAAGCGATGTGCTTTCAACCATGGCTGGTAGTTTTTGGAGAAGGGCGTTGAGGAATTGGCCCTGAACTTGCCTGGCCCATCCCGAGATGCTTCCTTTTCCTCAGGAGGGGCTGGGCCCCAGCAAGGCCGGTGGTCCAGCAGGAAGGACATTGCCCACTCCCTGGGAGGGGGGATACTTGTTCCTACTCTCTTTTTTTTCGTGCTCAGTGTGTCAAGAGGGAAGGTTCCTCCTGAGCAGATGGGGCCTGTGCAGAAAGCCTTCCCTTCTCATTGCCCCCTCCAGCCCCATCTGTCTCCCATTTCCCTTGATCACCCTCTGCCCACTCCCACATATGCTCTCCTGCTACTCTCTACTTTCCTCCAAAGCCCTTACCATAACATGTAATTGTGTATTTATTTTGTGACTAAAAAACAGACAAATAAACAAACAGCAGTTAATATTTGCTTCCCCCACTAGATTGGAAGATTCCTGAGAATGGGTCAGGCTCACCACTCAGTCCCTAGTCTCCTGAAGAGGGCCTGGGCTTCAGGGTATAGTTCTAGAACGAATGAAGGGAGAAGCTGGTCGCTGGTGAGCAGGTTTGCTGCCCAGCCTTGGGATGGAGATGACTGCTGAGCACGGACTAGGGGTCATCCCTGTGCTGGGCAAGTCGGTACTCAGAGTATTAGGAAGGGTCTGCAGAAATGAGTCACTTTTTTATATGAAGGAGGAAGCCAGAATGTTTGTATTTGAAATCTTTGTTTCTTTCTGTAGCCTAAGGTGCCCGCCCTTCATTTAGCTGTTATCAACAACCACATCGCCTGGTCAACAGCTTATTAAGTGCACAGCATGACATTGACGTCTTAAATCAGGTAAGTCAGGCAAGTCAGAACCTGGAGTGTCTCTTATATGTTTCAACACAGTGTGTGTTTAGGGGTAGTTTTGATCAAGTTCAAGGTGCTCTACAATGTCCTGAGAGGAATGTGCACATTCATTTTATCCTTGTTTTCTCTGTAACCTGCACACAAATACTTCGTCTTTTTCAAACACACAAATGGGGCTCTGCCAGTATGTTTATTTAATGGGCCTGGCGTTTCTGATAGATGATCAGTAGCTCAGAGGTAAGTTCCCAGAGGCTCTTTAAATGAAAAGCTCCGCCCCCAGTTGAGATGTTGTAATTGGGGGCGGGGGAGGGGGGGTTTTGCCACAAGAAGGAAGCTTTGTTTCTATATTATAGACAGTATTTTAGCCCAGAGGCAAAATCTTGGAATAAAAATCACCATGATTTCAATCCAGGGGAGCAGCATCGAATACCCCATAAAAGGAATCCATCTCTGGCTGGAAGTGGACAGGTTGGGGTGGGAGAGTGAAGAGGGTGGGGATGGGCCTGCCCTCAGGCGGCTGCCCTCTCCCAGGAGCTGCTGGGAGGGAATGGGAAGGGAAGCTCTCAGGAGAGGAGCCCTCCCAGAACCCTGAGGACAGAGACCTCTGGGCTCCCCCTGCCTTTCTGGCTGCCTCATCCCAGAGAAGCCTGGGCTGTGCCCTGGGGTGGATCCGGCCAGGTGGGTGGGCGTGCCAGCTAACCTGCTGCACATCTGCCCACCCAGGGCATCCACTCAGATCTCTGTCATCTTCTCCTCGGAGTTCACCTGTGCCCTGAGCTGATGGAGACCATTGCCCTTCTGTGCCTCCTTCCCCATCTTCTATCCCAAAAGTTTGGGGGAAGAAAAGCTCCTCTTGTTCTTAAATATACGTATGTGCGCAGCTATGTTAATGCCCTTTCCTACTAGATCCACTCCAGAGAAGGAGGGTATGCTAGCTGCCATCCAGGTATAAAGCCAGACTTGATTGTTTTAATTTGTTGTTAGACCAGGGATGCATTTAGTATATGAAAATAAGAAAACATAAATAAGCTAAAAACTTAAAATTTATTTGTAATCTCCCCAAAGAAGGAGAACTCTTGTTAGCATTTTGGCGCATCTCCTGCCTCAGACTTACAGCAGCACTGTCACATGAGATTTTACGAGGATTTGATGTTTTACACGTGTGTCTCCCTTCCACGTTGGATAGGCCTGCGGTAGGTTTGTCAGTGTAAATGCAATGTCTGGGGTGATTATCCCCCTGAGGGGCACGCAGCCATCCAAGAGTCTTTAATAAGTGCACGTTGATACTAATTATGGGAATGCCCTACGATCATTGGCCTGTGTGCTGGTAGGAAGAGTCCTGGGCTCGATGATTGCCCAGCTGTGTAACCTGGGGAAGTTGCTTCCTTTCTCTGGTTTTGTGGCGGAGCTACATCACAACCAACATTCTGTCCCAGTATTTTAGAAAGGTTTCACATCAGCAGTATTTTGGGTGTTAGATTAAGGTGGGTGGCTGCTCATGATTTCAGATATTCTTTGAGACACTCTCATCCTCTTAATAGGAAAATGATTGTTCCAGAAAGAAATGAGAAGTCCTATAGTCTCTTATATGTTACAATGCAGGAAATTTACAAAATAGAAGAGGATGGAGAATAAAGGTAACTTCTGATCCCACTATCTAGATATTATCACTCTTAAGATCATGGATGTATTTTCACATATAGATATATATTTGAGCTCAGCTAAATACAATGTTGTTTCCTTGTTTCCTAAGACTTTTAACGGTAAGTATTTTTTCTATTTTAAAAAAATAATATTTGAAACTATTTTTTATTGTGGTAAAATATGCATCACATAACATTTACCTTTTTATCCATTTTTAAATGTACAGCTCAGTGGCATTAAGTATATTCACATTGTTGTGCAACTATCACAACCATTCATCTTTCCCAAACTGAAACACTATTTCTATTAAATAGTAACTCCCCAGACTCCTCCCCTCAGCCCCTGGCAACCACCATTCTACTTCCCGTCCCTATGAACCTGAATGTTCTAGGCACCTCATATTGAAATCACTTTTTAAAATCTATCTTTAATAGTTGCCTACTATTCCAGTATATGGGCATTCCATAGTTCATCTAATGCAGTGGTTCCCAATGTGGGGCACATGCTCCACAGGGAGGCAATTTGATTTTGAAGGGGGGCAACTGGAGAATGAGTTATTAACAGTGAATTTTGTGCATTTCTTATGGTTCTAGGGGCCTCATATACAGTGTGTAAAATATATATTGTGACATATTTATGCATTTCAGCTCTCTATTATATGTTCTGAAACTTTGCTATTTTTTCATATCACTTCACATTATTATTTTTTTTAACAGTTTCTTAGTGATTTCTTCCTCAGTACTTCAACTGTCCTTTCTTTTATTTTTTTCTTTCATGGATGCCATGTTCTTTGGAAGCTTGTTTAGACCAAGTTAATGGCCTTTTAGGCTTCCTCCACGTGAATAGGAGTTCACTTTTTGAATAATAAGAATTATATGTCACGGGCGGGGAGGGGGGCGCATCAGGATATTAAAGATGCTTAGGTGGGCATGGCCAGAAAAAGGTTGGGAACCATTGATCTAATGAGTCTCCTTGTTAAACATGCAACTTCCTATCCGTTTTTCACTGTCATAAACAGTACTGCCATGAATGTCCCTGTGCGTACTTAAGAATATGCGATCTTATCTGTTTTTCCTGATGCTGATATAGAACACTATTTTCCCTTTGTCTTGTCACTATGCAAGTTTTTCCCCTACTTAACAAGCTTGGCTCACAGTTTTGAAATTTCTCATGGCAGAGGCAGCAGACTCCTTTGCACGTAGCTGCCAACCTTGGAAACGTGGATGTGGTGGAAACCCTGCTGAAGGCAGGCTGTGATCTGAAGGCTGTGGATAAGGTAACCTCATGGACTTCACTCTGTGCAGCTGCGATGGTTGCTGAGAACGCCCTGTTGGCTGGAAGCCTTGAGCAGCAGCATAGCCTTTGTGAAATGGACACAAACTAGAGAAACCTTTGTCTTGATAGCAAAACATCCCAAGATAAATCAGTAAGAATTTTTACTCTGAACAATAAAATGTGTTTTTAAAATTCAAATTATTTATTAATTTTTTGAAAAGATTACAGATTCTTCTGGTGCAATATATATAATTAGTAAAGGTTTGACAGTAAAAATTTCCCGCCCACCCCTGTCCCTGTTTGCCTGGATCCCATACTACCCTTGACATATGTATCCATTATCATACATTTCTCTGTTCTTTCTAGAGTTTCTTTCTGCATAGGTAAGCAAACATAAATATATTTTACTCTTCTTTTATTCCTCTGTCCTTCTACACAGTGGTGACATACCTCTACATATTGTGCTGCATGTAGCGTTTTTGCTTTAACAATATAAAGTGGTGATGGTCCCATATTAGTACGTGGAGAGTTCATCCTTTTTTACACAAGTGCATAATAGAGTGTGGTATGGGCATATGGTAATTTAGTCCTCAGCTGATGGCCATTTAAGTTGTTCCTAAGCTTTTACTGTTATAAACAGAGCTGCAATAAACATACTCATGCATGTCTAAACTTTTTATTTTAAAAAGTTTTTAAATGGTAAAATACACAAAACAAAATTTACCATCTTGATCATTTTTAAGTGTGCGGTTGAGTATTGTTAAGTACCTTCTCACTGTTGTGCAACCAATCTCTAGAACCTTTTCATCTTGCGAAACTGAAGCTCTATGAACAACTGCCCATTTCCTCCTCCTCCCTTCCTCCCTACCCAGGCCCTGGCAACCACCACTCTACTTTGTCTCTATAAATTTGACTGCTCTAGGCTCTTCATATATGTGGACTCCTACAGTACTTGACTTTTGTAATTGGCTTATTCACTTAGCATAATGTCCCCAAGATTCATTCATGTTGTATCATGTGTTAGAATTTCTTTTATTGTATACTAGAGGCCCAGTGCATTCGTGCACTGGTGGGGTCCCTCGGCCTGGCCTGCGGGAATCGTGGACATCCACACCACCACAGCCCAGCCTTACCCGCTAGTTCGTTGGGCTCCAGTCTGCTGTCCATAACGATCCCGCACAGCACAAAGTAGTGCACGAAGTGGCATGTGGCCAGGGAGGAGCCCAAGCCTGAGCCTGGGCTGGGTGCCAAGCCACTTCCGCTCATCCTATCCCCGCTGGGCCTGGGTACACAGCGGGTGTTCATGGGAGAAGCTCCTGCCATAGCTGTGCTCGCCAGCCATCAGCCCGGGTGTCTGACACCCATCTGTCAGCTGAGCAGAACTCTGGCTGTGGGAGCACACTGACCACCAGGGGTCAGCTCCTGCATTGAGCGTCTTCCCCCTGGTGGTCCGTGCGCGTCATAGCGACCGTCAGTTCCGCCGTTCGGTTGATTTGCATTTTAGGGTTTTATTTGAACATTTGGGTTGCTGCCACCTTTTGGCTATTCTGGGGACTTGTTTGATGAAGGAATGCAGGCTCAGCCATTGGATGGTGGCGGGATGACTGTCCATTAGGTTCCAGCTTTACTGAATGAGGGAAAAGCTACAGACTCCTGGTGGCAGCCCTGTGAGTTGCTCACACACGCCATCTTCCTTCAATCCTCACATGTCTTCTGTGAAGGGGACAAAAAACCCTACTTTTTAAGACAAGATTTGAGAAATGTTAATGACAGCAGGGGCACACACATAGTAAGAGCCTGTCTTCAAAGCCACGGCTCCTGGCTGCTCAATTGTCCGGTGCTTTCCCGTCTTGTCTTCTCCCAGACGGTTCACCAGCTCGGCATATCCCTAATTCCCAGTGCAATCACCCTACTCTACTTCCGAATCACACATTTTACACTTTCAGGATGGGAAGTAGTGATATGCTATTTTACTCTTCTCTGTATGTCACTTTTTAAAATTAACTCTTTTTTTCTGACAATAAAAATAATACAGTTCCTCTGACGACAATCCGGAAAACAGAAAAGCGTAAGGAAAACAGAACCACCCATAATTCCATGACTGAGGTGGCACCTCACGAGTTGTAGCCCATTAGTTTCTAATAACATTTAGGATTAGTATTAACATTTAGTGTTAGTATTTTTCTATGCTTTCTTTTTGTTCTTTATTCTACTTTTTCATTAATACATAACACCTCCAGGGCAGTCTTCGGGGGTGGAGAATCTATATAGCATTGCAGGGACTTCGTGTTGGGTCCCTTGGTGCTAGTGGACTGGCTATTTGAGTAAACACTGTTAATACTACGACTTGACTTTGTTTTCAGAATAACCCACAGTTTACTAGACCTCACAATTGATTTTCCCATTCTCCTCCTCTCTCTTTCCTCTCAGGGCCTAGAATATACTTGGCACCAAACATATATTGAATTAATAAATAAAAGCTACCTTTTCTATCTGCTCCCACAATTTTTACCAAAGATAAGTGACTGTTTCTGACTCAATTAAGACCTGGATGGGAAAAAAGGAGCCAAGGTTTGGTATACATTTGACTTTCCCAGAAACCTGTTCTCTGGGCCTGAGATATCACAAGGCTCCCCGAGGGCCCTCCACCCTCAATGGCATAAGTGTTTGGATTTCCACTGCAGCACACACTCCGGGGGAAGGGTTTCTTTGTAAAAAATACGTATTTTTAATGACTTCAGAGAGGAAAGAAGAGGGATAGAGAGATAGAAACATCGTTGATGTGAGAGGATCATCAATTGGCTGCCTCCTGCATACCCCACACTGGGGATCGAGCCCTCAACCTGGGCATATGCCCTTTCCAGGAATTCAACCGTGAACTCCTGGTTCATAGGTCGACACTCAACCTGGCCATGCTGGCCAGGCCCAGGGAAGGTTTTTTATGAGCCTTAAAACTGGCTCTCAGAATGCTGCTTTCCCCAAATAGGCTAATTACGGTGTTGCAAATGGCTTTACAAGCCAGAATTTAGACAATGTATACTTAAAGGCTTGCTAAATGCCTGCAATGTGCAGTTCTTCCTAATTTCATTACTGTCTCTTTCGATTAGAAGCTGATTACTTTCAGCTCTAATTTTTAGGCTCACCTGGGTCTTAGTGCCTGCCCTAATAACCAAATCATTTGGGATTCTGGGAGTTGCAAGTAGTCAGCTGTGAGAGAATTATTGGGATAAATTTCTGGATCCCTAAGCATAGAAACATATGTTCCTGTGATTGGAACTTCTTCTTGAGTTATGTCTGACCATTCATTTTAATTTTTGTCAGGATTCTCGAGCAAATTTTTCATGGGTCGTTGGCAAAACAAAGGGAACTGCCCCCTTTTGCTCAGGAAAATAAAGTATAGAGACATCTAGATTGTGTACTGCATAAAATCTAGGGGGAAACATCTAGAGTACACTGCTTGCAAAGCTGTGTGCCTGGCTTTGAGCTCTATCCATCCTGACAAAGGTGTGCCTTCTGTAATTTATCTAAGGCACCATATCAGCTCCAGGCCACTCCTGCCCCAAATTATGTCTAGAATAGCCCTTATTTATCAGACTATTTGGTTAAGATTTCAACCCTCATCCTTGGTTAGAGGTAATATGATATAATAGAAAACAAATTCTAGTTAGGAGCCCAGCAAGCTGAATTCTGTGCTATGAATTAGTCATGTTGTCATGAGTGATATTACTTTTAATAAAATCTAGCCCCTTTCTGTCTTATTACCCTTCTTAACGCACGGCTTCTGCTTCCTGGGCTAAGGTGGCTGTTGAAGCTCCTACCGCCATGCCAGCATTCCACTCAGGAGGAGGAGGAAAGGAAGGAGAGTGATATCCCTCCTCTATTTAAAGATACTTCCCAGAAGTTGCATGTACCGCTGGCCAGAACTCAGTACAAGGGAGACTAGGAATTGTTTGGAGTGTCCAAGTGCCCAGCTAAAACCAAGAGGTCTCTTCCTATAGAAGAAAGGAAGGAAAGGCTATGGAAGGGTGGGGGCATGGCCACTTACTAAAGCCTCTGCCACAGGTCAAGTCTGCCTTTGGAGGAGAAAAGGTACAATCATGTAATTTATTTGCTGAGCACATCCCAGGGCAGTGAGCCAGGGAGAACCCGGGGGGTATTGGAGAAACGTTTGGATTCTCATTGGTAGAGCACGTGTAAAATATTACTTGTTGATCGTGAGTCCCTAGCCCAAACTCTTTCC